TTTACTGTCCTATCAAGGTTCACAATTGCAAGAGATTGTTTTCAATTGTATATGGATGAAAAAAGTATGTTAAAGACCTTATTTAAGTCAAATTGTGTTAGAGTAGTACTTACTACTAATTGTTGAATAGCAATTTGAAACTTAAACTATTTACTTTCAGTGCATATTTCATAGACAATGACTGGAGGTATCAAAAAAAGATAATTAATTTTTCAGTCTTTCCTAACCATAAAGGGGAGACAATAGAGAAAAAAAAAAGGAAGAATATTAAGAGAATGAAGACTTAAAAATGTATCTACACTCATAGTTGACAATGCATCATATATGATGTGGCAGTATCATATTTTAAAAGTGAATAAAGAACATGAGTGAGTTAGTAATGAATGGACAATTTTTCCATAGCAGGTGTTATGCCCATGTACTAAACTTGGTTGTGAGTGATGGTTTGAAAGAGCTGCCCTCTGTAATAATAAATATTAGGAATGCTGTTAGATTTGTAAGATCTTCACCTCAAAAGATGACTAAGTTTAAGGAGTGCATAGAGTTTTCAAAAATTGATTACAAAAAGCTAGTGTCTTGATATTGCCACAAGGTAAAATTTGACATATTTGATGTTACATGTAGCAACAAAATTTCAAGCTGCATTTGAAAAGCTTGTTAATGAGGACTCTAATTATATGAGTTTATTTTTTGTTGAAGATCCCCTTACTGTTAATGCTTGGAAACATGCTTTAGCATTTATTAAGTTTTTAAAAATTTTCTATGATGCTACTAAGGTTTTTTCTACATGATTACATGTAAGTATACACATTGCATTTCACCAATTGGTTACTATTCATTCTGCACTTGACAAGGCTATTATGAATATGAGTACTATCTTAGCTCCAATTGATTGAGACATAAGATTGAAATATCATAAATAATGGGGTAGTGTTCATAACATAGATTATTTATTGTATTTTTGTGTTATCTTTTACCCTCGTTATACGTTTGAGTATATGATTTGAAATTTTCAAGAAATGTACAAACATGATTTAGATAAAGTTTTTGAATTAGTTAATTTTGTAAAAGAATTTGAAAAAAATGTATGATTAGTACCAATTAGCTCATAATGAACAACAAAATAAATCTCAGCAACCACATGTTAGTGTAACATACTTTACATTTCAGTTCTTGAATATTTGGCAAGGGCAAATGCCTTTAAGAAGCATATGAGAGGAAAAGATTCCATAGATAGAAAAAATGAATTAGAAAGGTATTTAAATGAGTATGTTATAGATGATGATGGAAAACTTGATATTTTACTTGGGTGAAAAATTATTTTTTCACGATTTTCCATTCTATCAACAATAGTGAGAGATGTGTTGGTCACCCCTATATCTATAGTGGCTTCGAGGGGCATTTAGTACTCGGACACTTATTTGTACTCAAAATTGGTTAAAAACTATAATAACTCAGTTTGACTGGTTCTAATATCAATGAAGAGTTTGAACTTTTTGAGAAGATAATCATATAAGTATGAAGAATTTAAACTTTTTTTTTGTAATTATTTTACTATATATATATATATATACATATATTAATATTTGCATTTAATAATTTTTAAAATTGCAAGATTGTTCAATAGTAGTTAAAGAAGTATCATAAGGAGTTGGATCCGATCATTGAAGTTGGTTCATCGTCTCAATGTTAAACTATCTATATATGTTATTTTACTTTAATTGTTATTATATTTAATTAATACATTATCATTTTGATAGATTGTAGTTGATTTTTTTTACAAATGTAAATTTATTTTTTTGCTTTTTGAACTCATTTGTTAAAGATAAATGTTGAGATCTTAACTCGTTATTTTTTTAAGTAATTTTGAAGTCATAACTTGTTGCTGGTTATTTTTGGATAATACTACTTATAAACTTAGTCAATTAATAACTTAAAAATGTGCATATTAAATGGTTATTGGTTTTATAATTAAGTTCCAAAATTTACAAGAATGATTGATATTGAAATAAGTGGTTTTTCTTTATAATTGAAGGCATATCCTTGAGATAAAAAATTATCTTATTATTCTTTTGATTGGATTCTTCTGACATTAATTTGTTAATTAACATATCTCAAAATAAATTATTAATAGTTTTCATATTATCTTATCTGTGACAGAGCTCTAAAACTTGTGTAAATTTATGCATGGACTTTTTTTTTTTTTTCTGCTTCCTCTTTATTACTTGTTGTATATTTTAGATTGTACATGTAGTTTTCTTTAATCAACCAATTTATCTTCGACATGTAAGTTTACTTATATTGAATATCTCCTCTCATATTCCTAATAAACAATTTTTAACTATATAAATAATATATTTTTTCAATCATTCGTGTCACTATCAATTTGTGTGACTCCATTTTAATTCAAATTATTTGAATAAAGGTTATTTACTTTTTTTTTATATATATATATATTTAAATATTCTATGTAGGCATTTAATTTATCTGAATAATTATCTTATTTTATGAATAATTTGTAATATTTTATCATCTTATTAATATTTGTTCTCTATAAAATCAAATTATGAACTTCTATTTTTTATACCACATAAACTCATTGTGTTTTATCTGGCATATCTTTAGTAAGAACCATTAACTGGGAAGGACATTTATGTTTTACAAGATCTTCCTCTAAAATATTTGTATTTATCCATGTTTCATGTATGATCATTTATAAAAGTTGCTTTTATTCTGGATTTGAAGACTTTTAGGATATGTAAAAAATCATATATTATATTTTTCTTTTGCAACTAGCACTTGATTCTCTATTATTTTTTTTCTTTTTATATATAAATATTGAGAATTATATTAAATTACTAAATTTATAATTATATATAAATTTAGTTTGTGTATTATTTTTCACTTTTATTTTTGGTATGAGTTATTTTTTTAATTTAGTAAAGTGTATTATAAAAATAATGATTGAAATTATACAAGGATTTAATCTATTTATTTTATTCATTCAGACAAATAAAATTAAACTAAATAAAATATAAAAAGTCACTACTAAAAATTCTTATTTTTCATGGGAATATTTTTGCAAAATTTTGATAAAAATTGCAAGAAATAAGTTTTCTATAAATTTAAACAATTTTTTGCAAGAAAATTGACAGAAAAAAACTAGTTTTCTAGTAGTGAGTTATATATTAAAAAAATGATTTAATTTAAATTTAACATGAATAATCCATCCAAATTAACTCGTAATCCGTATAACTCGTGTCCAATTAAGTCGATAAATAAAATGGTCGAATATGGATTCTAAAAATTTAATTTCGGTTTAATATGAATTTATAAAATTTAACCCATACCCGACCAATCAGACCGATAATAAGGTTTACTCTCATCATATTCTTTTGAAATAATAACTTCAAAACTTGGGTGTTGAAGTGTCCAAACCTTCTATGCCAAAGCCATGAATCATGAACTTGAACTTTCATGACAATATCAGTAATATATATTGAAGCCTATATGAAAGTTTCTATTTCTTTCTCCATTTTTACTTCTCATATATCTCATCTTTTATTATTATAGATTTTGCATGTATCTCCTTTGAAGTGAAGAACATAGTCTTTACCCATCATTTACCAATGCTCAAGAGATTTTTCTTTAAGATTGGGAACGAGCAAGACATCCTTAATAAGTCTCATACTTTTCATAGTCTCTACCGCAACAATGTCTCTATTAGTGTGTCATATTCCAATCGTACTTTCACTTTGACAAAGTCATCAATGTTCTTGAAGATGTTTTCGTCTTTGTCCATGTGATTATTACATCCGCTATCTAAGTATCGACTTTTTCTTATTTCATTATTGGAGTCTCAGGTAGCATAGAAAAGATATTGTTGAAGTTTATGTTTTTTAGCAAAATTTGCTTGATGCTTTTTTTTATTTGACAATTTTTCTCCACATGTCCAAACTTTTTGCAATGTTGGCATTGAAATTTTTGACGATGCCAACAATATTTTTCCAGGTGAATTAACTTTTTGCATATGCCACAAGGAGGAAATTTATCTTGACTAAACTTGGATTAGTTTCTAGAAATTTCATCAATTTTCTTTCCTTTAATTTCTTAATCATGAGACTGTATTTTGAGCTTTGATTGAAAAACATTTTCGATAGAGTCTTTTATACTTCCTTGTAACTCTTTTTGTAATGTGCTTCATGCCTCTTTGATACTTGTGACATCCATTATGCTTATAAAAAAATTGCATTAGAATTAGTATGAAATATAATAAGACTTGTTTACTGTAGTTGGATTGTATCTAAGTTCAATAGATGATGGAACGTAGTTTTGGTACCATTATTAGTATTTTAGGAAAAATAGAAAAGATAATTTGTTGTTTAATAGTGAAATTTGAGTAGAAAATAATTATTGAAAAAAGGTAGGCAAATAGAAGAAAATTTGTATAGATAAAGATAATAATTGATTTTGGAAGTGCTACATATATAATATGAAAGAGTTTATGTCAATTTTTGCATACTCATTATATAAATGATATTATTTATTTATAGGCTTGATCCATCACCTCCAAATAATCTATAATATTCTAGATAATTTTAGAATTATTTATCTTCTATTTATACTAATAATTTTATATATTACTTGTACGAAGTTTCTAGTTCTAGAATTATTTTTTGATCTTTATAGAATTTGCACTATATTCAAATTCATATCCTCTGCACAAACCAAGAAACTTCAAATTGGTAGAATTTAAATTTCCATTTACGTGCATAATTAAATAAAGCCAAAAATAACGTTCAAGAAGGAGATAGACGAGAATCAAGACAATACAAAAAGTACATGGCAACTGGTCATTTAGTCTTATTCCACTCCCAACATCTTCTGCTTTCTTTACTCTATGAAAAGCTTGTGTAGCCTTTATTGTTTCTTCCTTTGGCATATATACTTATCTTTATGTTTTATTTTCCACATTGTGCATAGAATTTTACTCCATTTTGTCAACACTTGGGTAGGTCATTTGGAGGTGCTAATAAAGATTCACTTCGTCCTTTACCGTTGTCTACAACAAAAACCATCTTCAGTCCCCATGTTGTATGAATTTCCAAATGGCAGTGCATAAACCAGACACCTACAAAATAGAATACTATATATCATAACATCAAAAGTATGTAAAACCGAAATTATTTTATATTTGTTCAAATATTTTGGTTGAATTACAAATATGATAACTTTACCTGGATTATCAGCCCTGAATCTGATAGCAGTCCAGCCCCCAGATGGGACTCCAACTGTATTTCTCTCGACAGGATCTACAAGGTTGAACTTCTTGGGGTCTTTTGTGGGGTTGAAATTTCCTCGCCCTTTACCAACCACAAAAACATTGAAGCCATGGAGATGAATGGGATGGTTCTCAGGTGTTATCATTCCAGTATCTTGCAAGACTAATTCAACCGTTGAATTGTAAGCAAGTCTATAGACCCTTGTCCCTTTCATGGTCCTCAAATTTGATGGTTGCGTCCCAGTGAAGTTGTAGACTCTAGGAGGATTTCCAGGAAAATCATCAGTAAAAACTCCCTTAATGTTGAGGAAATGTGCTTGAAGAAGAGAAATTTTAGGCGTGACAAATGTAACATTGTTGAAATCTGCTACCAGCCTACTATTGTTCACACAAGTGGCACAAGGGTTGATACCAAGGCTAACTGTGAAGAGCAAGTTATGATCAATCTTCAAAGGGACTTTTGCAGGATACTCTTTAGAGTTTAAGCTTCTGAGAGAATTGGTGAAACTGGTGGCAAGAGGGGTGGCATTTTTGGGAGGGATGGAAGTGAGTGTGGTAATGGTGGAACCAAGGGTGCCTGAATAGTGTAAAGTTGCAGTGGCAGTCTTGTTGTCAACTGTAATAGGAGCATCCACGAAAGGAGAGACTGCAACCAAGTAGTTGCCAATTGCATGTTTGGTTGTTAGAAGCACATTTGTGGTCTGGCCAGGTGCTATGACAATGGTGTCAGTTTTGAAAGGTTTTGTGTAGACTGCATCAACCTCAACAACAGTGAGTTCATGGCCAGCAATTTTAAAGAAGAGCTCTTCATTTAGTGCAGCATTGATTATTCGTAGCAAGTAAGTGAGTCTTGGTTCAACATTCAACTTAAATCCTTCTGCACAAAAGAGAAGGTTGAGTTTTCATCAATTTCAAAGATTGACTTAATATTAAAAGTAAAAATGAGTGAGTTTGAGTTTACTAAAAAAATAATACTTTAATAATTAACACTTGTCAATTAAAAAAAATTAAAAAAAAATTTGTATGGAGAATTTAACTGAAAATTAAGGTTTTGTTTGGTTTGAGAAATTATTTTCTGTTTTCAAACATTTTAATAAAAATAATTAAAAACATATATAAGTGATGTAAAAATAAGGTGCGATTTAGTAATTCTTTTTAATATTAAATTATGCATTCAAATATTTTTAGAAGTCTCCTCGTTTAATTTTTTCATAATTTAAGTCATAAGAGAAATGTTATTAATTTTACTTCTTTTATATGATTTTATTTTCTTATAAGTATTTGTTCAGAATTTAACTAGATTGGCCAGTACAAAAAAAATTGTAAAATGAAATATTCTCTAATTCTTACACTGTAAGATTGAGACTGATTCTTGGATTTTACCTTGTGAAGCACAACCTTGGATAGGTCCTGAGTGGCCATTGATTGTGTGGGCATCAGAGACACTTGGTGCCAAACCTGATTTCAATGCTTCATTTATTACAGCCTCAGTATCTGAATTCCACCATTCACCTGAACCAAATTTAAATATTCTGATTTTTATTTTACTATTTATCAAGGATGAAATTTCGGAAACATTCATCATAATTTTTTTTTCTTCTATATTATGACTATACAAGCAGAAAAAAAGAAATATTTAGCAGCATGCAGATCTTACTCAATATGATAACTTGTTCCATGTTTGGTTTAGGAAAAGGGTAAGGAACTCCAAGCTTGGGCAAGATGACAATGGCACCATGGAGAGTGGCCCTAAGCCATAGGATATGTGCATGCCACCAAAGTGTGCCTCTCTGGCCTGTTAGGGTAAAGTTGTAAACATAGGTCTGGCCCGGTTGAATTGGACACTGAGTTATGTATGCTGGCCCATCAGCCCAACCTGTTCTCAATTGTCTCACACCATGCCTGTTCAATTTTTGTTCCTTTAATAATGTCTGCATGATGGATATTGGTGATCGATTTTCAACAGTTATAAAGAAGGAAACATGTGCCATGACAGTTTCATACATAGTTCATATTTGGTTTTCTTTTATAACAAAAGATTAAGATTAGAATCACAAGAAATTCTTGAATACTCACCAGTGAATGCTGATGTTGTACTTGACATGGTTGACCACCTTAACCAGAACAGTATCATTTTCACTGGCATAGATGGTTGGACCAGGGAACTTTCCATCTATTGTAACTATGGGCTTAGTTGAACACAATCTTGTGACATTCTTCAGGACCACCTATGCAGAACACCAGGGTTACACCAAGCAGGAATATGGAGTTAGTTTAACTCATTTTGGTCAGGCACAAGTTTCATTTCTGTTTTCTCATATCTTACTAAATGTTTAATATATTAAGCTTTGCATGAGTATAACATGCAAGATAATACGCAAATATATATTGTAATGCACGTACATTGAAATTGTAGTGGCGAACCATGGCTTCTGCAGATAGTGGAAGCAAGCAAGCTGCCATCAGTAGCATGATTCTAATCCCAAACGCTGCCATAGCCACCCCTTTTGAGCTCTCTATTCCAATCCAATGCTTCTCTTGAATGCACTTGCAAGACAGAGAAGAAAGGATAACTTTATAAAGAGCCACTCTCTGTTGTATGTCCCTTTTGGTAGAAGGAATACTTCAAATTTAGGACGTAGGTCCACATTATAGAGTAGAAATAACTCATAATGAAAAGAAAAGAAAAATCATACAACCACTCATATCAGCAGTAATTAATTTAAGATGATGAAGATGATATAACCCAATAAACACTATGTGTCCTGAGTATGAGAGAGAAATATGTGATTTAGACAAACCCATGTTTTAGTTGTTATAAGAATGTAACAACTCAAACCAAAAACTGTCCCAAAATTTGTTCTTTATTTATTTATTTTGTTTATTAACCCTTTTGAAGCTAAGCAGTTAAGTTTCTGGTTGTGTCTATATACTGTGCCTTCCTACTGTAATGAGTAGTCAGACTCAGAAGCTGGTTTTGGTCCACCCATATAGGGTAATTTACAACGAGACTCAACTAACATAATATGTACCAATTCATCATGAAATGGACAATTATGCAGTGTTTTACTTGATTTATAGCAATTAAGTTAAGACTCCATTATGCAGTGTTCTTACAACAAAACCCTAAAAAGGTTTTTCATTTCTTACAACTTTTGTTGTAGTGATTGAACTGCATGTGCTGCACAAGCGAAGCGTAAAAAGACTTGAAATTTTTATTGATATTTAATTAAAGCCAAAAATATTAAATTACCAAAATATTTCTTTTTCTGTACCAAAATATTTGATATCTTATATTCAATGAATTATTAAATTTCTTGAAAGGAAACTCCATGTCATCGTCAATCGAATAAAGAACCAAAAATCAATTAATATTTGGCATTTTTGGTTTTGGGATTTTGGCATCACGAGCTTAATCTAAAATTTGAATTATACATCCAAAGTTTCACTTTTGGCTCTACCCTCCATTCACAAATTAACAAGAACCACCATCAACATTACAAACTCCATATTGCAACTCTCAAAAGTTTCATTGAACAATGAATATATACGAACACAACAACCACTTTATTTTTCACTCAGAATTTGTCACCAATGGAGGTTCATGCCACTGCCACTTTCATATTACCATAACGACAAAGAGAATGTGCCTCCAGCATCTGACACCAACAAGGTCAAGAACAAGAAGCACAACAAGCCAAACCCTAAGAGGGTGCCTCTTACTGACATCACCAATCTCTTCAACAATTCTGCTACAACTACCTTCACAATTGTCCACCAACAACAAATTAGGGTTTCTGCTCTTCCTGGGAGGACATTGAGGATGGGATTCAGATAGATATAGTATTGTATCATAAAATTTGGCTTCAATTTATATTTATCACATCAATTTGCAATGACAGAATTTGCCTGCGAGGTACGAATATACACAGTTCAAATATTTTACATTGTAAGATTTTGAGAAAGTTTGTATGCAGCAATTTAAATGATAATTCATACTACAATATTTTTTTTGTTTTATTTCCTTCACTCACTTCATCATTTATTATATCTCATGTTTCTTATATTTTCTCTCTTTTAAATTATATATAAGATTTGTTATACAATGTGTTGTATAAATAACATTATTAACATGTTAGCACCATAATATGTGCTACTTTTATTACACCAATAAACAATTGCAAAATAAGTGAAATTAGAGATATGATTAAAAGTGAGAGATATGTTTAACATATGAGTAAAATTTTAGAAAAATATACTTATACAAACTAAATCTATAGTGAATTTAATATAAAAGAAATCATATTAAATGAGGTTTGCTTAGTTGAATAGAAGAGGAATTGGGAAAACTCGTGTTCATGTTTGGATGATAAAAAAAAAAATTATTAAAAATTTAAAATATATTAAACCCAAAAACAGATGTGACGAAACAATTCAAATTTAAATAAAGGTCAAAGAAGATGAACAACGTTATGATAAAGAACATAAATTACTAACCCGCGCATTAAGCATAGTTTAGCTGCATGAGTTGCCCTGGGAAGGGTTTCCGACATGGCCAGCTCCTCCTCAATTTACTCGAAGCGTGTTCCACTATTCGGTCCTTCGACACCATCAAATGTCTCCATGCACTATCCATCACAATTGGTCCCATTCCAAAGCAATCAATTTTCATTCACAACAACATCATCTTCTCCTACATTTCCCTTGGCGAAGTGCTCCATGCGCGCAAGGTGTTCGACGCTTTGCCCTGCAGAACAGTTGTATCTTACAACACTCTCATCACTGCTTATTGTCGACGTGGGGATGTAAATGATGCTTGGCGCCTTCTCTCCAGCATGAGGGGGAGTGGTTTTGCGCCTACCCAGTACACCCTGACAGGGCTGTTGTCGTGTGAGTTCTTGAATCTTTCTCAGGGTGTTCAGTTGCAGGCTTTGAGCATTAGGAATGGACTCTTTGATGCTGATTCTTTCGTGGGTACTGCTTTGTTGGGCTTGTTTGGGAGGCATGGATGTTGGGATGAAGTGTTTTCGGTATTTGAATATATGTCCCAGAAGAGCTTGGTGACATGGAACTCCATGATGTCCTTGCTGGGGCGTAATGGTTTTGTTGAAGAGTGTAAGATTTTGTTTCATGATCTTGTGAGGACGGGGATGTCTTTGTCGGAAGGTTCTTTTGTTGCTGTGTTGTCTGGACTTGTTGATTCTGAGGAGGATTTGGAATATGGTGAACAGATACATGGTTTAATGGTCAAATGTGGGTTTGATTGTGAAATTACTGCAGTTAATTCTCTTATCAGTGCGTATGTCAGGTGCAAAGCTATGTTCGCAGTGGAAGGATTGTTTGAGCAGGTTCCTGTTCAGAATGTTGTTTCCTGGAATATAGTCATCAATGCGTTGGTTAAAAGTGAGAGACCTATGAAGGCACTGGATTTGTTTTTTAATATGGTAAGCAGAGGATTGATGTCAACTCAGGCAACGTTTGTTGCTGTTATTGAGTCATGTACTAGTTTGAGAAATCTGGTATGTGGAGAATCTGTCCATGCTAAGGTAATCAGGAGTGGTTTTGATTCTGATGTTGTTGTCGGTACTGCATTGGTAGAATTCTATGCCAAATGTGATAAAATTATTTCAGCTCATAAATGTTTTGATCAGATAGAAGAGAAGAATTTGATTTCTTGGAATGCTTTGATAGTGGGTTATTCAAACATTAGCTCTTCCACAGCAATTCTACTGTTACGAGAAATGCTCCAATTGGGTTATTCCCCAAATGAGTTTTGTTTTTCGGCTGTTCTCAAGTCATCTTCTGTATCTAACCTTCATCAGCTCCATGGTTTGATTATAAGAGCAGGGTACGGAAGTAATGAATACGTATTAAGCTCTCTTGTAATGTCTTACACCAGAAATGGTCTTATAAACGAAGCAGTTTCGTTTGTCAAAGAATTTAATAATCCACTTCCTGTAGTCTCATCTAACATCATTGCTGGAATCTATAACAGAACTTGCCAGTACTCAGAAACAATAAAGCTACTTGTTTTGCTAGAAAAACCCGATGTTGTGTCTTGGAACATTGTCATTTCAGCTTGGGCTCGGGTCAATGATTATGAGAAGGTTTTTGCGCTTTTCAAGTATATGCATTCAGCATGCATCCGTCCAGATAGTTACTCATTTATGAGTGTATTATCTGGGTGTACCAAACTTTGCTGTCTGGATTTTGGTAGTTCTCTACATGGACTTGTTATAAAGACTAATCTTGGTAAATACGACACATTTTTGGGCAATGTCCTAATTGACATGTATGGGAAGTGTGGAAGCATTGATAGTTCAGTGAAAATTTTTGAAGAAATTATGCAGAAAAATATCATTACATGGACAACTTTAATCACTGCCCTTGGGCTGAATGGTTATGCTTATGAGGCAGTAATGCAATTCCGAAACATGGAATTGATGGGGTTGAAGCCTGATGTATTAGCACTCAGAGCAGTGCTTTCTTCTTGCAGATATGGTGGATTAGTGGAAGAAGGCATAGAAATTTTCAGTCAGATGGGAGCTAGTTATGGGATGCCACCAGAACATGATCATTACCATTGCATGGTTGACCTACTGTCAAAAAATGGACAAATTAGGGAAGCTGAGAAAATCATTGCAAGCATGCCTTTCCCACCAAATGCCAGTATATGGCGTAGCTTCCTTGAAGGATGCAAGAACTTGCAAATTGACTTATGTACAGAAAAACTTCATTAATCTTTAGACAACAATGCGCTGAACATTTTGCTGTTTGGTTCTTGTAACTTGTATAAGAAAGGAACGAATGACGCGAGAGTTAGTTAGAGCATCAGGACACGTGGCAGCTGATCCAGATAAAGCAGAGGTCAGGTGTAGCTCTCGTGAAAGGAGACACAACAATAAATGGAAGGATTTTGAATTGGGAGAGACATGAAAAATTCGGTACCTATTTTCCTCTGAAAATTCCTTCGCTTCTGTTGCACAATTCTCTTCTCCTGTGCACCATTTTGATATCTCTTCCCAATCTTCTATTCTCAGGTTCTAGCGAGGTTGTGAATTATGGAAATGTACATGGAAGTATATAGTTCAATGTTGGGTTCTTTGAAACCGGGTTTTATTTCAAACGATTCAGTTTTTATTTCAACAATAATTGATACGCTGCATTTCAGTGGTGCTTTCACTGACTTCCACGGCTGAGAACACGAGATTGAAAGAACTACAAATAGCGGTAAATGCTCATGCAGAGGAAATTTGTCGTACTGGAGAAACAATGGAGCGCCACTGTCAACAGCAAAATCTTTTCATGGAATAGATACAAACTTAATTAACTTTACTTCTGGAGAACAATTCTCACTTCCATGGAAGTGCTTCGAACAACAATTCCTCCCACGCTAATTTAGGGACTGCTGCTCTTCCGATCAAGGATATTTCATTGGGATTTCCCCACTTTGATGGTACCACTCCAGTTCTTGGATGGATTTTTAAGGTTGAAAATTTTTTTAATTACCACAACACTCCCGATGATTCTAGGGTGGATATTGTTGCAATGCATTTTAATAAAAATGTAGTTCCTTGGTTCTAGATGTTGCATCAAATGGCTGCAGTGAATATGTGGTCAACCCTAATGCGAGCGTTAGAATATCAGTTTGGCCCTTCTCCGTTCGATTGCCCGATGGCAGAATTGTTTAAATTGTAAAAATCAGGTTCCATATCTAATTACTACATGAAATTTACTACCGATGAAGCCTTGTTGAATTGTTTTCTAAGTGGTTTACAAGTTGAAATCAAATGTGATGTTCTTCCTATGTCTCCTCCTACATTGTTGAGAGTTGTTGCTTTAGCTAAGCTATTTGAAGAGATATATCTACCGGTGCATAAAACTGCTACTACTGATTCTCGTACTAGATATTCTTGTATTTCTACAATTACTCACCCTCCTAATATGCAAGCTAAGCCTATGTCACAGACAACTTTACCACCATCGTTACCTACATCCTCAAGACTTCGGTTGAGAAATTCAGGGGTAAAGAAAAAATCAGTTCTATTGATATGCAATTTCATGAGAATAAATTTTTTAGATGATAAATTTACCTTTAATCATAAATGCCCAAAAAGGCAATTCATGTTTTTGCAGTTAGAAGTGGATGAGTGTGATGACACTGTGGTTACTGAGTCCCCATAGGTTACTGAATTGGAGGGCAATGATGTTAAGAATCATAATTTATCTTTAACTACTTTGAAAGGAGGAGTAAGTGTTGGTACATCCACTTTATGACTTATATTGATAAAATGTCCGTTTCTCTTCCTATTGATGGGGGCAGTTCTGATAACTCTGGACGCACGTATGTTATTTTTTAGATGATAAATTTACCTTTAATCATAAATGCCCAAAAAGGCAATTCATGTTTTTGCAGTTAGAAGTGGATGAGTGTGATGACACTGTGGTTACTGAGTCCCCATAGGTTACTGAATTGGAGGGCAATGATGTTAAGAATCATAATTTATCTTTAACTACTTTGAAAGGAGGAGTAAGTGTTGGTACATCCACTTTATGACTTATATTGATAAAATGTCCGTTTCTCTTCCTATTGATGGGGGCAGTTCTGATAACTCTGGACGCACGTGTTTGATTTTGCTTATTTTAAAGAAGAAATCACCTTTCTACTGAATAGCTTTTTTGTAAAAAACCATTATTTCACCAAAAATGAACCACCCCAGACATGTAAGGGTCAACCCAAATGCAACGTAGGGACCATGATTAGGGGAACAATTAAAAGTTTCTCTGGTGTAATCTTTTCCGTCCTTTATAACCCAAATGGCAGTTTAATGTAAACCCGTGCCATTAATCCCCTTTTTGTGCATGTTGTGTAGCCAAGCTTGTGTCTTCCTCCTTATAACTCAAAATTCTAACTCATCATTTCGGGATATTAGCTGTGAGATCCATATGTTCCTTTGGCGTCCATATTGTTTCCTCTGGAGTCTTGATATTCCATGCGGGTGTTTGCTTAAATCATCTCTGTCATCACATAAAGGTTTATACATTATATTCGTTCCTAAGAAGTTTGCTTGAGGAAAACACACCACAGCCAAATAGCCAAGCAGAAGAATCCTCTCAAACCAGCAAGGGTAGTTGCTCGTAGCGGGCCAGTGGGGTTGAGGCCACCTGCAAAACACTCCAACGCCCAGGTAAGGTGCTTCAGCAAAGTAACAATACCAAAGAGTGTTACATACCTTGGAGATGGAGCTCGTAGCCATTTATAAGCATTTGAGGGAAGGATTGCATGGAAAATCCACTTCCCACTTACAACTTCCATACCTGTCTTTGTTACTAGGTACCCATGCCATTGTATTAGGAGTGGTTTTTTAAAAGAGCAATGATATATATAGACACTTCTATATGACATATACTCGATCAATACCACTTATTTCTTATTATCTCCTTTTCCATATCTCATTATATCAATTATTGTAGTTGTTCTTTTTATATCAATATGTTGTTGGACTGAGTGAAACTATACTCAAATTCCTTAAACAAAAGTCCCAAATTCAAGTCTTCTAGAAAAAAAAATAGTTGGGAGGGGGAAAGCTTCACTAAAGTGAGCAATTAGGTTTTTCTTCCGATATTAGTCATTGATAAAGTTAGTGGAGATTTCATAAATAACAATACAGTGACCTAAAGAAATATCTTTATTTTCTCATTTTCTCTGATTGCTTCATGGGTTAATGTTCACCAAACTTTTCCTTCTTTAAAAGGCAGCCTGAATGTGTGCTCCTACCAGGGAGGAGGATGTTTCCCGCACCATTTGCAGGTTGTATCGGCTTGTGATCGACTTGGGCCTCTGTTTCCTAAGGCGAATGTTGTTGAGGTGGGTGGTGTGACTTAAATATGGGTAAGAGAGCATGTAATTTATTGGGCCCTAAGTGGGCCTAGGCCAGTCCAGAACAACAATTTTTTAAAATACTTCGACGGGCATGGAATGCTGAATCATATGGGAGAAAATCTTAGCGACCAAAAATAAAACTTAGGGAGAAAATCTTGGAGCATTTGGTGATTGATTTCACGTTAGTTATTATAAAGAAAGACATGCTTTCTGTTACGTATTGCTTATGTATCCACTATATTTAAGTCTCTATATGCTTGTTTACCTTACATGTTTTAAGTCTATTTTAGAGAACGAACATGGCACTCTACTACATATCACAACTTACATGCTTCTTTTATAGTTCGGTTGCTGTTAAGTCAGTTTCGATACTATTAAGCGTTTAGGATGTTTGATAAGATCTTGCAAAATTTGCTCATTTATTTCTTGAGCATTTTTCTTCCAATGCATGAAACATCTGATGTTTGTGGAAAGGTCAAAATATGCTGAATCTTATTTCTCTTTTTTTCAGTTTTATCACTAGTTTAGTTTCCTCTCTTTTCTCAATAACTGATTGATTTTCTCACATAATAATTGTCTTATGACAAGGATATGGTAAAAAGTTTTGTGTGGAAACAATATATGCCCGTCATCGGATAAGCATATTCCTGGGACGATACTGGATATGCTGCCAGTAGAAAGTCACCGGTTCATCAGATGTCGCTTTCTGCATGTCCTGACGCCACTATATATGGACTATGGTATGAAGTTTATGACCTCTATATGTATATACTTGTGCCATAGTTGATTCCTCTCTTCTTTTCTTGAAGAGAGGTAGTTGTTTGTATCACCATATCATTATATGCACAGTTGATTTGCTTACAAAAATAAACAAATGCTTTGTTTGATAACTGAGAATGAATGGACTAGTGGAAGAAAAAGGAGAAACCTGGTAATTATTAAATCATGCATGTCCATTTTGGCTCCATCCCTTTTTACCTTTTCTTTTATTTTCCCCGCGTCTCAACTAAGCAAATCATATTTTAAGAGTAGTGTTAGCAATATACTTTTTTTGACATACTCTTTATTTTTTCAAAACTACAAAATTGCAATTATGTCCATTAAACAAGGAATAAGATTTAAACAACCTTTTGGTTTTCAACAAATTTTAGTCAATAATAATAGTATGTGAGAGTGTATAGTTAATATTTCTAATTCTAATCTTTCAAATAACTATTATTCTTGAAATTTAGTAATTATATGAAAAGGGTCAAATGAGGTACATACATGAGTTTGATTGCTGAAATTTCGCCATGCTTCCTTAGTTTTTTGTTTGATTACATGTTACCAGCATGTGATCCACGTCTGTTCAAAAGCTAATTTCTTTATGGTTATCATGAAAAAATTTTCATGACTAAAAATTGTGTTATAAACCTTGATTTGGGATGAACTATTGGTATTGTAAACCTTGATCAAATATTGAAATTTATCCTAATATTTTCATTAGCTTTTTTAAGAACAACTCTTTTCTCAGTTACTATACTAATGCAGTAAAATTTATACTTGAGAACCAATATTATTCTGACAGTTAAAAATTGTATCTTTACAGTGGATTGCAGCAAATAGTAGTTTGTAGCCATCTCCGGGTTATCCCACAGCAAAAGAAAAAAACTATAATGTCTGCAAAATAAAAGTTGTTGATTCCTACGCACAAAGGAATATGCAAAAGACTTTAAAATTAAAATAATGAGCTTACCCTTTTATTCTTTATTGCCTTAATGGTTTTGATTCTTTATCAACTTGTAGTAGAGTGGGAATGTCAAGTTGAAATACAAAAGGTATAATGTACTATTTGGTTAGTGAAAAAATGGAGAGGACAAGAGCCAAGCAATTTTAATAAAACTTTCTAACTTAATTCAGAACATTTGAAAGTAAGGAAAGAGAGAATGAAGAAGAAAAAGTCCCTCCTTCTATACCTTTTTCCTTCTTTTGCTAATATTAACAAATTATTTTCCCTCCACTTCTGTCATAGTGGAAATATGCAGGCTACACTATCAGGTACTATTTTGTTTCATCGTTTTCATGTCCAGTATTATGGTGCAAATTAATTTTCAAAGTGCTATAATCATAGGAAAAGAATGGTGAATCAAAAAATGGAGCAACTTCGGATAAATATGCATGTAAAGGAACTCACCCCACCTATTGTTATTTGCCCTAAACAAATAATAGCACCAGAAGGACATTTACTTATTAATCTGCTTTAACCTTAGGGTTATTCTTTTTCCGGTTTTACAATTGAAAATGGTAATTTTTAGTGAAATCCTTGACCTCTTTGAAATATTTAAATTATTTTGTTGTGGAAGACAGTTATTTATGTTGTACATTACACACGTCCTGGTGCTACCTTTTTTTTCACTCGAGTGGAATTGCTTTTCCAAATTATTGCAATGATGTGACTTTGTAAAAGGTTGAGTTTTAGAAGTTTGAATTTGGATGGTTATACATTTTTTCAGATTCATATTTGTTACTATTTTGAGATATTATTTATTTTGAAATTTTAATTATCATAATTTTATATTTTAAATAATTTTAATAGATTGAGAGTAAAAAATATATATAATTTTTTTTACTTATTTTCTAATACTATATTATTAATTTTAAGATCAACTAATATATTATTAATAAATAATAAATAAATATAAAAAAATAAAATATTAAAATATAAATAAATGTATTTAATAATTATTAAATTTGAGAAAATAAAAAAATTAAAAACTTTACACAATTAATTTGACCTCGTAGGACGTCCATTTAAGGACCAAAATAATCATCCAATTAATGAAGGCACTTTCAATAATATTCATAGCTGATTATATTAGATAATATATATTTCAGTCAATCTTTATTCAAAATTTATATATTTTATATTTATATTTATATTTATATTTATAATTTGTATTTTTAAAATATTTTTTATATTTATAATTTTTTGAAATAATTTGGATTTTTTTAACATAAATATTTTAATTCTGCATTTTTAACTGACATTTGTTTATTTGGTTTTACTTTTTGTTAGGTTTATTTTGCATTGGCTTTTTTATATCATTCCCATCGAAATGTATGTATGGTTTGTTAAATTTAAAATTTCTTATTATTTTGTATGGTTTTATAAACTGAGGAAAATGTATTGAATATTTTAGATTAAACTTATGTAATTAGATTCATAACTATTAACTATAACTTAATATGATAATCTAAAACGTATTTGTATACGCTAATCAAATTCGATAAATAGACTAAACAAATTCTAATTGGTTTTTTAATTATTTATGTTTCAATATTTTTTAGATTGGGTTCTTTTTTTTACTTTTTTTTCCCTCTCTATCACTATTAACGCATTGTTCGTCTTCCTCACTATTCATAAATCTCGATGGAAGTTGAACATTTAATAATTAGATTATCAATCACTTGAACTTATTTTTATGAAATTCATACCTTGATAACTAATTAACTATTACAAAAACTACTTGACTTGTTTAATGAGAATTTAATAAGTATTTCACATAAGTTAATTAGAAATTTAACTAATCATAATAAAAAATTAATATGTTTGAATTACCTATTTTTCCTCTATTTTTTTTTTCTGTTGAATAAGTTAAAATTGAAGGAGAATATCCCGATCTTATTTTATTTGACAATATTTTATACAAATTATTAACGATAATACTTAATACAAATATCGACGCTTGCATCACTTATCCCTTATCACATTCTGTGTACTATGGTAAGTTTTCTATGCAACACGGTGCTTTCCTTGCAGGTAATTTCGTTGAACAAAAACTCTATCTTTTTCGTGAAATGCTCGCTAGAGAGGCCATGTTCAATGAAATCCAAAGCCTACCTCTTGACAAGAAGCCTCTTAACTGTAAATTAAGACGGTATCTAAATAGATTTAAAGTTCTGTTATTTATATTTGGTGATGATCAAGTTCAGCGCATTGACTACACTAGAACATTCACGCTTGTGATGAAAATGGTGATCGTGTTCGTCCTAGCTGTTGCAGCACCTAAAGAATGGAAGATACACCCCACAACGATTTTTTACATGATGAGTTGTAAAAAGATTTTCATGAAGTTACATTCAGGTTTTCAAGTTATTCAAGTTGCAAAACCAAACTTCACACTAAGGAAATCACTCTACGGATTGAAAGGCCTCTTGGTATTGGTTTTCCAAACTTTCTGCTGCCTTCAAATGATTAATAAATCTTCAAGTAACTCAATATTTCAGCTATGTTGGTAACTTGGTACGTTTTCAATGGGAAACCACAGGTAAATTTGCATGTATAGCATGCATGTGAGCACTTCGTGATTCTGAAGTCTCATGCTCTGTCTGCGATGGTTTTCAAGAAACTTTGCACATCCTTCTAACATGGATTAATCTTATTTTCCCAAACATGAAGTAACATTTCACCTAAGCACACCAAGATATATCTCAAAAGATAAACGGCAGAAGGTATAGATATTCATTAATTATTCCATCCAAAATCTACAAAATGGAGGGTGCACCAACTTTGCTTTTGGAAAAAAAGTTTAAGTGAGTTAAAGTTCAATACTTAGTACAACCCAAAAAAAAAAACACACTTACAAAATACTTATAAGTCGTCCATCAATAAGATTCTTGAATCCACAAAACTTGAACACAAGACTTCATAGAATATGAGTTTAAGTACGATCATTACTAACATGGTCTTCTCATAGGCTGCACCACTTGCATGCATTATATAAAAAAGAAATCTCAAAAATTATTATTCATTTCTTATCATGAGATTATGACCCTTATGTCTGGGAGGGGATAGTCAAGCTTCTGAAGGAGGCCAAAGAGTTAATGTTATAATTTAGGAGCAGCATATCTTGTCTATGTAGGTAAAACTTTTTCTGTCATAAAATATGCAGAAAAATTTATGGAGAACAAGAGAAGGCACATCGCTTTCTATTGTAAAGTTTACTAGCTGCTCAATAGCAAAGGCAGTCAAATAATTTGTGACCTATTGAAAGGACTTTTCAAAAGCTACTAGGGCTTGGTAAGAAAATCATTTGAACCATCCTATAAAGAAATTCTCCTATCACACAGGATGGTCCATACCTGCACCAATTTTTAATTCAAATGCTTCAAGGGGCTCACCTAAGTTGACTCCTACTACCCTCTCTCACTCTTTTCATACCATTTTAGTGTAAATTCTTTAGATTGATTTCAAACTAGTGATAAGTTTAACTGAAAGTAAATATTTATCACATAAAACTATAAAAATGTATTGGATTAATGCTTTCTATTTTTAATAAAGAAAATATATTGCTTGTAAATGGCATTATTTAGAGGTTTTCGGCTATGGAATATGGAATATATGTTTCTTTCATTTTATGATTAAGGTTTTGAACTCTCTTTTGAATTCTAAACCTATATATTCTATAATGCTTTCACGTCTGCGATAGTAAAACCAGAAAGAAGAAAACTCAATAAAGAACTCAATAAACAACTTGCTGATTGTGAAACCCCACTTTTGACTTCAAGACATACACAAAAACTTCATATAATTTGGATTTTATCAAATTTTAAATTTGAAAACGGATTCAACTCTATTTTCTTTCACTTTCAGTTTATTTTCTTGAACTTTTATTGGATATGACTTATCTAGCTTTAAACATGTTCTCTCCTTAGAATAAATATTCATGACTAATAACCCAAATCTAACTGATACATAAGAAAATTGAATATTATAATAAAATGAAAATTAGCTAAAAGATTTTTTTTGCCAAGATTGTCATTTGTCAACAAAATATATACTAATGGAAAGTAAATAGCCTTTAAGAGAGAACAAGAAACCCATATCATAGGAGAGGCTTAAAAGAAGATCAACACATGAATAAAGAATAAAATTTTAAGTTATTAGTTAAGTGAGATGTGTGGTTATCTTATACTATTACATTATTAATGCGCTCCATGTGTCAAAAACTTCTTGGGATTGAAAGGTGGTAATTGGTAAATGAACAAGTTTTTTTTTAAGATTATTGAAATTTCAACCTTTTATATTTTAGAATATTATATAAGTAATAATAACGATCAAATTCAATAAACTAATATACCATGAATATGTAAAAGCTTTAAAAAATGTGTCATACTTTTGATTTAACTTATGGATAATTCACAATCTGCATATAATGGTTTACATTAATTCTTCCAAGAAATTTTATAGGAAATTACTTGTGCACCTGTTAAATTAAAATTGCTTAACATTTTTAAGTTAACTCATTAAGTTGACCTAATTTAACGGCAAGCTTGAAGTTTAGAATGTGGGTCGCGGTTCAAATTAATCTACCCTTTGACCTTTTAAAGAAAAATTAGTATCTTTAGATGAGTGGGATATTAGTAAAATGAAGTCACTATCAACGAATAAGTAAAGTAATTAAGGTATAAATAAATTCCATATATTTAATAACTTTTTTTTCGTAGAGTAAATGTTCCTGAATGTAATAATGCCGAAAGATTTACTCTACTTACGAAAGATTTATTATGAAAGTAATAATATCTTACACTTTTGAATTTGCAACTCATTAATTATCTTTTTTTAAATTCCTCAAATTTCTCAAGACATAAAATTATTATAAAGAATAAAACACTATTTCTTATTTGAATATTTAATTTTGTTACACATATTCAAAGTTCAAACCTGAAATAGCTTAATCATATAGATAATCCAAGTTAGGTTGTATAGTTTAGGTGTTTTAGGAGGAAATTTTATAAATCAATTTTAAATGAGAAAAGTGGTTTAAATAGATTTCAGTTAAAATTATTTAACTTCTGAAATAATAAAGATCGTGTTACACTCACTAGAGTGCAGTGATGGGTTTGCTAACCTAACCACATATAAATAGTAATCTTATAGTAACCTTGGAAACTACCCCAACTCCTCGATCATTCCACAAGCCATCTCAAGCTTATATAATCGTCCTCACTTTATAGCATCTTGTTCAATTCCAAGATTTACATCAGCATGGGGAATACAAGAGCAACCCTAGTGTCTATACTTGCCCTAATCATCTTCTCTGCATTCTTCATGCCTTTGCAGGCTCGTGGCACTCTCCATGCCCACAAGAAAGTTGTTGACATCCAAAGGCTTCTCCACAAATCAGGTATTGACCTAGCAAAACGTGCACATGATGAAGATGGTGGTGGTGATCTTCCCCTTGCACCTGCAGATAGACTCGCACCAGGAGGACCAGATCCTCAGCATAATGGAAAACAACCACCTCGCAAGTCGTAGGGTGTTTTATTTGTTTCAAGATCATCGTGGCTACACGCATGCATGCATGCATGAATATGCATGCCTTGTTGGGTTTTATAGGCATAGAACTTTAAGCTACAGTGGTGCATGTAGTGGTACTTTCTTTCTTTCCCTAGCTAAGTTGTGAACTCCACAGTCTTCTCAAACAGAATAATGCTATTTCTACTCACAGTTTCTGCAATGTCTTTCCACAGCATTTTTTTTTTTTCCTTCTATCTCTTCCTCCCTTTGTTTCTCTCTATGGTAGAAATTGTTGTGGAAATAGCATTACTCTTCTTCCCTTTTCTAGCATATGTGGGTGATGTAGGTGGATAGTATATTGTTTCTGCTAAGGTGATATGCTGATCCTCTTTGTGTTTAACTTTTACCTTCTTCATTTGTTTTTTAGCTTCTGTAGTCTTCTTCTCATAGAAGGTTTTTTGGAAGATCAACCAAGAGGAACCAGGGTTTTTATTTTCTCTCTTAATTTAATTCAATCAGATATATAATTTACATTTTTTCTACAGAGAAACTATGTCAAAAACTTAACTTTATGAAAAAATCAAGTAAATAATTTATATTTATTTTTTTATTATTTCAATAAACAAAAATTACCTATAATTCTTTAAGTGTTTAATTAAAATTTTATTGCAATATTATTAAGAAAAATCACATCAAAATTTATGTTGGTTTAATATAAACTTGTATTATACATGATGTTAAGATAATATTTTAATTTTATTAATAAAAAAGTAATTTAATGCATCTTAAGATTTAAACTTTATTAAAAAAGAAAAAAGTTTTTGTTCTCAGTTTAATCTCCTTCCTAAAAGCAAATTTTTCTATGAAAAGTAGTTTTAATCGTGGAACTTCGTAATTGGAAGTACTACGGATGTTACTGTAAAAAGAATGCCAAACAGGGAATAAAGGCACTGTTCAATTCAAGTTGTACATTTTTCTTTTCAAAATAATATATATATATATATATATATATATATATATATATATATATATATAACTTTTAGATTTCAATAATAAATTTTTAGAAAAATATTAATTTTTTCAAGTAACTTAATTATATTTTTATATTAATATAATTATTTAAGTTTAGTTTTATTAAAATTAAACAATAATAATTAAATAATTTATATTTTAATATATATATATATATATATATATATATATATATATATATATAAGAGTTAATTTTGATTTTTAAAAAAACAACTATCCAATTAAACAGACTATTTATTTTTCTGATATGAAAGAGGATTTATTTAAAATGTTTTAAAATAATTACTAATCATTCTTGACAAAAAAAAATAAAACAATTTATTATTAGTTAACTATTAAAATATACATTTCATTTTGTCGCAACTAAATATGAATAATTTTTTAATAGCATGCATTATTTTCATAGTTAATTAAACAAAAATTTCAGCATATATCAAATCTCTTCTAAAAATCAAGTTATTCATATGAATTCTTTAAGGATAGCTATGTTTAAATTAAGATTAAAAAAATTGAAATTATAAAAAAATAAAATAAAATAAAAATACTATCATATTGCCACATGTACTGTAATTTAGGGCATTAAATGATCATATTTTCCATAATTAACTTTCATAATCAATAGGGTAGTTACGAGACTTGATCTATGTGTACTTTGTGTCCTATTATGAGATACACTTTTTATCATTTTTCCTTCAAATATGGTATAGGTGCTAAAAACATAATCAGTATTATACATTTGCATTTATTACTTTAAATATTTTTTTAAATTATTTTTTCTTATTATGTGTGACAAAAATTAAATTTAATATAGAATCTTTTATTAGATTTTTAATTTTTTTATTAAAATAAATATTTAATAAAATATATTTTTACTTTGAATTTGAAAATTATCTCAAAATTTTGTAAGTTCTCATTATATTTTGATTTTTTTTAACAAGTTTTACGTTTGTAAGAGAAATAAGATGTTGAGTGAAGGCGACATTTATAAAAAAAATATATTTTATTATAAATTTATATAATTTATTATGATCTTAAAAAAATTTAAAATATTTATTATAAATTTATAGATTCATATAATTATAACTTTATAATATATATAATGATATAATTTTTATTAATAATGTAATTAATGTATAAACTGATATAACTTATTAAATTAATTATTATTTAATAAAATATATAATTTGATATCAATATTATTATTTTATATAAAATATAATTATAATTTTATATAATTATAATATGTTATGTCAAATATAATTTATAAATAAATTAATGGATAAATTACATTATAATTATTAGATAAGTCATTAGCATTAAAAAACAAATAAGCAAAACTTATAATATCGTTTTCAAAAAAATCGGTTGATAAATCTGAAAAATGAAACTGCATTAATATAAAAAATAATATTTTTACATAAATAATATAAATTATGAATGTATATAATTATATTATATAATTTATATACAATTAAGTTATTACACTGATATAATATATATCAATATTTTATAATTTTTTTGACAATACTTATCAATATTTTAATTTATATATAAATTTTCAATAATTTATTAAAGTTAACTATAATTATAAATTTTAAAAAGTTATATAATTATGTAATTATATATAAATATATATAAATATATATAATCATATAAATTATATTAAAAATTTCATTTATTTACTGAAAGTATTTTTTTGGTTATCTAAATAAATATATTAAGATACAAAGATACTTTTGTATTGTCATATACCAAATGAGTTAAAAATCAATTTTAATTAAAATATTTTTATAATAAAAAGCACATAATTTTGTGATGATCTTTTTTTACACATAAGAGTAAAATATCTTTATTTTTTATTTATGTCACTAATTACTTATATGATATATTTATGTTATTAATTATGTTCATTATATATTTATTTAAATATTTTCTCTTTTATTAAATATTTTAAAAATAATTTTTTATATAATTTATTTATTTTATAAACCAATTTTTTAATTTTAATTTTGTTGAAAGTCTTGTGTTAATAATTATTTTAAGAAATATTTAAATAATTTATTATAAATATTTTTATAGGAAAAAATTAAAAAATGATATAAACTTTTTAACAAGCTGAATTTAGTAATACATACTTTTAAAAAATATATGAAAGAATTTTAAAATTAGTTTTATTTTATAAAAAAGTATTTTTCTTAGAAATAAATACTAGATTTTCATATCAAGAGAATTTTGACCCATAATAAAGCCCGAAAAGGCCTACCCAATACCAAACCTGCCCAGACTTTTTTGAAAAAAAAAAAAAAAAAAACTCCAACAGTTTCCAACCGCGAGGATGGCGCGTGCACAAACTTCTCGTATACTGGTCCGTACCAGCCATACCGGAACCCACTAAACCGGAGAGTATTCAAAACGCGCCACTCAGCAGTCTCTGGTAACTTTTCAAAATTTCACAAACAAAACTCCCCGCCATTAAAGTCTCTAACTCTCCTATCCTCGCGTGAGTCCCACGCAATATAGTATATCACTACCCATTGGTGGGTTTTATTCACGTCAAGATAGCGCGAGTGAGTCCAAGTCCCGAAGTTTCGGTGTTATAATGCTTCCGAGGCACGGCTCTTTCTTGCACCCCAAACGCGTAATCTGGTCCACGCTTCCCCACGAACACACCGTTGTCGTACACCTGTGACGATTCGATAAAACGACCAGCGTTTAGAGAAAGACGAAGCGTTCTAGAGAGAGAAACAAAGAGAGAGTGCGGAGCGTGAGCGTGTGTATGTGTGTGTGCGAGATCTGATCGGAAACTAAGGTAATCGAGCTTTGAAACCCTACTATTCGTCTTTCTCTTCGTGATTCGTTCTTACGGTTCTGATTCTTCGTTTCGGAAGAAGTTCTGAGGGAAACCAGAGAATTTTGGCGGTGGAAGGGAAGCCCTAGAAGTTTCTAGGGTTTTGTTTGATGTTATTTGTTTTTATTTTTATTTTTGTGTGATTCTTTGATTTGTTGGTGTGTAAAACCCTAGGATTTCGGGGATTTGGAATTGTTGTTAGGATTAGGGTTTTGGATTTATGGCTTCGGGGCCTGTGGTTGGAGGAGATGACGAAGCCAAAGAGAAACAAAGATTCGGGGAGAGGAAGGTTTACACGAGGAGGAAAGTGCTCAAAGGCCAAAAGAAAGACCTTAACACTTCAAACGCAGTTGTTTCCACCACTGAAAATAATGCCACAACCACTTCTACAGTTACCAATGACAACAGTATCAATAACAACACCGTCCAGAAGAGCAAAGTTGGTGAGCCAGGTGAGGCAAAAAACATTAGTGATAGTGTTGTGGCCCAGCCTTCTTCACAGCCCGTGGTGCCGGAGGACACTGCTCAGCCACAATTGAGGTCAAGGTTAGAGGATGAGAATTTGGGAGAACCACTGTTGCAGGATCAGAATATGGTTCAGAGGCAAGTGTGTTCAAGATTGGAGAATGGGAATACAGCTCAGCTACAGGAAGAGGGTCATGATATGACACAGAAAGAAGGGAGTTCAAAATTGGAGGATGAGATTACAACTCAGCCACAATTAGAGGATGAGAATATGGTTCTGTCCCATGGAAATTCAAGTTTGAAGGATGTGACTATGTCCCGGCCTCAGGTGAGTTCAAAATTGGATGATGGGAATATGACCCAGACTCAAGTAAGTTCAAGATTGGAGGATGCACATGTGGAACAGCCTCAAATGAGTCCAAGATCAAATGATGGGAATAGGGAGCCTCAACCAAGTTCAAAACTAGTGGATGGGTGTGCAGTTCAGCCACAGGTTTCAAGGTCAGGGGATGGGAATACAACCCAGCCACAAGTGAGTTCAAGATCAGAGGATGGGAATAGGGCTCAGCCCCAACTGAGTTCAAAATCAGAGGATGCGAGTGCAGCTCAGCCACAATTGAGTTCAAGGTCCGAGGATGGGAATACGGCCCAGCCACAGGTCAGTTCAAAATTGGAGGGTAGGAAGTCCCCTCAGCCTGAAGTAAATTCAAGAGTGGAGGATGGGAATTCACCGCGGCTGCAAGTAAACTCAAGATTGGAGGATGGGGTTTTGCCTAGGTCACATGTGAATTCAAGATGGGATGGGGAAACAGTTCAACCACCAATAGTGCTGGTTTCTCACGACTCATGCAGCCGGCAGCACGATGAACCTTCTAGTCTCAATATTGAGCAGGAGGATGATGGACCTTCAAGCCCCAGCCGTCGTCAGGAGGCAGTTCCTAGCACCCGAGGCCTTACATTGGGGAATGGGGTTGCGGAGCCACGACAGAGGGATCAGAGGGATCGAATCAAGATAAGCTTGTCCACAAAATCAAAGCAGCAGATTCGGGAGATTAGGTGGAAGCTTGAAAGTGAGCTTGACATTGTAAGAAGTTTGGTTAATAGGATTGAAGTGAAGCAGAGGCAAGTTGGTGGATTTCGTAACTCAAATGTGCTGGTTGGTAGTGGGCTTGATAATGTGGGTGGAGCAAAGCGTGCTCACTCAGAGGTGGCATCTGTTGGTCTTCCAAGGGAACCTGCCAGTTCTAGGCCTCTGCACCAGTTAAGTTTGTCGATGTTGGAGAATAGTCAAGGAATTAGTGAAACTGTTGAGAAGGAGAAGAGAACACCTAAAGCAAACCAATTTTATCGGAACTCAGAGTTCTTGCTTGCAAAAGATAAATTTCCACCAGCGGAGAGTAACAAGAAGTCAAAGTTGAATTGGAAGAAGCAAGGTGGGGGAGAAATGAGACATGGTTTTGGAATGGGATCAAAGTTTTTCAAAAGCTGTAGTTCGCTGCTTGAAAAATTGATGAAACACAAGCATGGTTGGGTGTTTAATGCTCCTGTTGATGTTGAGGGTCTTGGTTTGCATGATTATTTTACTATCATTACTCATCCAATGGACTTGGGAACTGTAAAGACAAGGCTGAACAAAAATTGGTACAAATCACCAAAGGAATTTGCAGAGGATGTGAGACTTACTTTTCAAAATGCCATGACATATAATCCAAAGGGACAAGATGTTCATATAATGGCAGAGCAATTAGCAAAGATATTTGAGGACAGATGGGCTATAATTGAGTCTGATTACAATCGGGAGATGAGATATGGCTTTGATTATGGGGCAGCTCCTCCTGCACCTTCACCATTGTCAAGAAGGGTTTCTGCTTTTACACCACCACCACCTCTTGATATGAGAAGGATTTTGGATAGATCAGAATCAATGACACAGACTCCAAAACCTATGAGCTTTACTCCATCAAGTAGAACCCCCGCTCCCAAAAAGCCAAAGGCAAAAGATCCTTATAAAAGAGACATGACATTTGAGGAAAAGCAAAAACTAAGCACTAACCTTCAGGGTCTACCTTCAGAGAAGCTTGATGCTATTGTACAAATCATTAAGAAGAGAAATTTAGCGCTTGATCAACATGATGATGAAATTGAGGTAGACATTGATAATGTGGATGCTGAAACTCTCTGGGAGCTTGATAGATTTGTGACCAACTACAAGAAAAGTTTGAGCAAAAATAAAAGGAAGGCTGAACTTGCTCGGGCTAGAGCAGAAGCTTTGCAGCAGAATGCCATCCAGAAGGTAAAGGATAAAATTTATACTTTTTACGGCATTGCGTACTTTGGAGGGGAATTATTCTAAATGCATTTTTATTTTTTCTCTCTGCAGAGCCAGGCGCCAGCTATGGTAGAGATTCCAAAAGAAACACCAACAGGTGAACTGCTTAGAATCAGGTTTGGTGTTTTTGGATTGTTTATCTCAACTATTTTGTAACTGAAATATTTCATCTGACTGTTTGTGTACAGATGAAAGGAATATTCCCCAACCATTGCCCGTCCAAGGGGAAAATCAAGCATATAACGGGAGTAGGTCAAGCAGTTCAAGCAGCTCCAGCAGCGATTCTGGATCTTCTTCCAGTGGTACATTGATCATGATTTACCAACATGTTATTTTTTCATATGGATGTTTTTACTGATTGTTGAAGTCAAATATTCTGTCTTTCTCATTTGTATGTGGGTGTTGCAGATTCTGATAGTGACAGTTCCTCAGCGTCTGGATCTGATGCAGGGTCACAAGGGACCTGAATATGCTCTGTCTGGTAGAGTTACAGCCTCTGATGTTTTATCTTACGTTGTGCTGTGACTTCTTATTGTTCAATATTCCTTTGCTTCTGTGTGATATTTATCAGCATTTTCCCCTTTTTATTCTGAAGAGAGATTTCTGTATAGCTTTCAAGCTGTATTTTTAAGAAGACCGATCATTGTTTGTTTGTCATAATATGTGTTGCTGAGTACATTGTGTATGTGTTGCATTTGATCAGTCATATGATGAATTTGAATATCTGTGTTTCTTGTACGATAGTTGGTGGTGTTTCTGTAGGTGTTCATAACTAGTTTGTTTTGTCAGAATAAGTTTTGAGGCTATTGTTGTCAGAAAGGGTTTATGCTTGAACAAAGTCATAAACTTCAGTGACATGTTTTGTACTAGCCTGGATGTAACATGGCTATTTATTTCTGTATGTACTCAGTACTGATTTGATTATTTTATCAGCTTTGTGAGTAATTTTGTTTAATTTTTTTCAATCAATATTTTTTTTCCACTTTATTAGTATTGATCATGATCCGGTGGTTTTTCACTATGTTTTGTTTCTACTTGCGCAAAATTTCCCCTCATGCCTTTTGCTATTTGTAGCTTTTGTGCTGTTTATTTGTTTGTGTGCATTTGACTCCATTGTGTGCTGAATTGCTCTTCTCCTTTGGGAACATTTTATTTAAAACAAAATTGATGTGAAATTCACTGGTTATGTTTTTGCCCTTGTCATGTGGGGGTTCTTCTGATTTAATCAATCATATTTTGTCGAGTTAAGAATTAAATAAATGCTAAAGTAAAATAGACAAGTTATTAATGTTGCTCTTTATCTATTTCTAGTTTATAATTATTACATTGGACATTATATGTCATACAATATATTTAAAGTTATTTTTCATTGTTTTTGAATCTTGCAATTTGATGCAATTACAAGTTATGATTTACACTTCGAAGTTAGCTTTACTATTCCCAATTTGAATTTCAATACGACAACCTTGAGGTACTTTTTTTTTTTTTTTATGTAATATAGTTGGTTTTGAAAAATGCTGTTTCTTGGTTTCTATTTGCTACCATCTTGGTGCACTGTCTATATGATGTGCTTTATTTAACAAACCTAATTTACATTTCTTGATCCGATCCAAATTTAAATTAGAGTCTTGAGGGTTTTCAGAATCTCAAACATGATTTTTAAAATTAGAGTTAAAATGCATTACCGTGGAGCATAGTGCCCATGGACATCTAGTTACATAGAAACACGGCTTCTGAACCCCAAAAGAAATAGCTGAGCTTCAGGAACATTTCCAGTTTTTCGTGTGCACTTCTCAGACTTTTATGCTGCATTCTAAAGGTTAAATAGTTGCATGCTTGAATTTAATACACCCGTACTCCTGCACATGCGATTACTTGTCTGAAGCTTATTTTTCTTAACATGCTTTTTGAACTTATTAATAATAGAAGTTTTGGAATTGATAATCTGCTAACTATTTTTCTTATAAGCTGCTTTTCTTCACGTTGCAGATCTCAGATTTTTAGAGTAGATAGTGTCTTGATGGCCGCGTAGTTTGGTTTTTGAAGCATCCATGTTATTAGTTTAACTGTTGGATTGTAGAAGAAGCACTCTGAAGGCCACCGGTGATCCTACCGATGCAGCATGGGATATTTTCTTCCCATTTGTTGGAACTGCTACATGTGCCTGGCCTTGTTGGCATTCTCGACACGAATTCTTGTATAATATTTGGTAGAATGTGATGATAGTTAGGTAGTTAGTTTTCCGTAGCATGTGTACATTGCTAACTACTGCTGCGCAAGCATTGACTTCGATTGATAACATGTTTTTTAATTATGTGCTAGCAGATTCAAGATCTTGGTGCCATACGGATTGATACTATGTAATTCCTTGTTCTTGAAAAATCTAATTCCGTGTAGTTTATAACGGTGAAAATGCATGGGGATCTTGACTCGAGTTAGTTTAGTTTTTATCAAATTACAGCAGCTACTTTTCGCTGGATTTTTTTACCTTTGTCAAAAATAGTTTTTCTCAGTTTAGAAATCTCGTAAATACTGATGATAATGACACAAAGGAATGATATATGGATGTAATAAAAGATGATTAAAAGATCATCTCTATATACTAATAATCATACGAGATGATTTTTTTACTTAAGAAGATGCTTAAGCATAATGTCCAGCAAATGTCATAGATTTTATTGGAATCTTCCAGTTGTCTAGTTTGGTGTTGTCTATGCCGGTGGTGTCCTTTCGCCGTTTAAAATGACAAGGAATGCTGAAGTCTAGTTAACTGTGTACAATCCTATTCTTTCTTTGTTTTTCTCGATTCTGGGACAAGGAAAAGAACTAAATAGCATATCAGAGCAAGTGAAAGAAAATATGTGCAACTCCGATGGAGATTGCAGGCCCTTGGGTTTCTTGTTGGGTCTTCCCTTTGCCTTTCTCTGCCTCCTTCTCTCAATCGTCGGTGTAATTGTCTGGATTGTTGGGTAAAATAATACTCTTCTTTTTCTCTCCCCGTCCTAGTTGTCTTACTGTCATCTTTTGTTTTGGGTTACTTTGCACCTGCAATCTGGAATTTGATCTGATTGGGAGAAAAACATAACTTTGGTTATATTTGCAGATTGTTCCTGACATGCATATGCCCCTGCTGCTTGTGTCTTACCATAATAGTGGAGCTTGCGTTAGGGTTGGTGAAGGCTCCACTGCATGTCATGGAGTGGTTCACTTCTCAGATCCCTTGTTGACATGTTCCTTGTCTGTATCTTTCTTCTACCAAGAAAAAAAAATTGACTTGATTTTTTGGTGTTCATTGATGGTAACCCTTTGTCCTCTTGCCAGTTTTTGTGGTTTCAAGTGTGGGGATTTCATGTTTGTCAATTGATAATTCATGTGTGCTCTTTTGGTTTCTTGTCGAATTCATAACAGTGTGTTTCATGAAACTTGGTTGCACAGAAAGAAAATGAACAGTTCGCAGTTTTTCTTTTGTTTCTTAATACAATTATTATCAATTATAACTGCGGAAAAAACTACGATTTCATTTATTTTTTTCTGAAGAATTGATCCTTATGGTTTTCTCATATTTCTTTTAACTTTTCAAAAACAATTAACAGAAAAAAAAATCAAAATTCTAGTTATAATGGAAGCAATTTAAAAATAATTTTTCACACATATATATCTTATGTATATATTTGGAAAAAGTAATTTTTAATTGTCTATATTAATTTATACTTTTTAAAACAAACTACAAACGTTGGATAAAGCAGAAGATATTAAAAGGATAATGTTTTACATTTTTTACAAAATGCAGTGATTACTCAGCTCTTGCGTATTTTTTATTATTGTAAAGCATATTCGTCTAGCTATCCCAACGTTGTTCTTTACAAATATGCTCAATGACAGTATCACAAGACTGAGTCAAGTTGTAAAAAAATCATTTACCTTTTCTTAATTTATGGGGGGACTGATTCTATTTATTGTAAGATATATCAATAATACACAAAACAGTGGAAGATCTACACTTTATTACTATTGTAAGACATTCTTATTTACAACTCCACAAAACGTGGACCAAGCAGTTAAGTAATGCTGCATGATAATATCCACGTATAAAACAACTTCCTTAAAAACATATATATATATATATATATATATATATATATATATATATATATATATATATATATATATCACTCTTATTTATTGATAGATTTCTTTCTATATAAGAACTTTATTATGAAAGTATCCACACAACTCACTGTACACATACTTGCCTTCAAGTTACTAATCACGTTTCAAGTCGGCATGTTCATATTCATGTGATTTTGTTGTCTCCTTTTCTCCCTCTCCACCAACCATCACTCTAGTTGTCTCTGCTATTTCTGCTATGGTTTCACCTATGGCATTCAACACCCCTCCCCCTTCACCTTGATGTTGATGCACTTTCTGTGCTGGTTTCAGCATGTTTTCTCCAATCTCCTCCACAGTTTCACCTACTGCTCCCAACACCTGCCTCCCTCCCTCAGTGGCTTTATCCAATGGCTTCTTCATTGTCTGTGCAGCACTGCCTAGTGTTTCTCCAATGATGCTTCCAAATGGTTTCTGTTCCCTTTCCCCTCCCTCAAAAGTTCCCTCACTGTTCCTATTTTCTTCCATATTTCTTTTTTTCTCCTGTACTGGTTGTCCTTGTCCTCTTTGAAAGCTTTCAGTGGTGGCTTTTGTTGATGGCCTCTCCTCCTATGTACAATTGCCAATCTTTAGTTGATTAGACCAAAGACTCTTCAATAAAATGAGACCACATTTTCCTACATATTATGTTGTAGGACACTACTTTTATTCACTTCATTCAAGAAATATGAAAGGGTAAGCGACTTTTGATGACTTGTGAACTCTTTTACGAATGCATACTAATTATACATATTAAACTCTTATGTATAATTGGTTGTAATTAAATGAAATGTATCTATACACAAGTGTAACTCTTCTGCACTTACATTGCGTACTCATTATACTTATTAAACTCTCTAAGATTATGAGTATGGTAGATTTGTTGTGATTAAATGAGGTACATATACACATTTACACAAACCAAGAGCCATTGATAGAAATAAACACCTGATTCTGAGCTTCTCTTTTGGCCTCCAAAACCCTCTCTGCCTCCTCTTTCTTCCTTGCAGTGTACTCCTTGGCATTCTCACCAGTTGCAGCAGCTAAACCCGTGGCAGCATCCAGTGACTTGGCAGCAAGGTCATAAGCCTTCTGGCCTAAATACTCAACTGCTTCCTCAACAACATGAGTTGCAGCTTTGGTTCCCTCCACAGTCATCTCAGTAGAGAAATGAGCAGCACTCCAACCTGTCACTACAGCCTTGTCCCTCAAATCCGCGGCCACTTTGGAAGAACTTTTGCCAGTTTTCACTGTGACATCGTTATCTTGTGCAGCTTGCTCTCCAACGTTCTGCGCATTGGTGCCATAACCAGACTTGGTCTTCTCATCAGGTGGTGTAGTGTGGTCCACCGTACCAGTGTTGTCCTTTGCTTCACCATAATCCTTTTGGCCCTTATCTTCTGCTTCAAGATTTCCTTCATGATCCTTTTCTCTTGCGACATCTTTTGCCTGTGTTCCCTCTTCATTTGCCTGCTTGTTTCTCTCTTTGGCAGCTTCAATTTCTGCTTGTTTTTCTCTCTCTCTTTCATATTTCTGCTTAGCAGATTCAATTGCATTAATTGCTTTTTGTTGAGCTTCAGCTCTGAATTTGGAAATGTCTTCGAGGCTAGGCTGTTCATTTTGTTCTCTCCCTCTTCCTTGTTCCTCACTACCACCCTATCATAAACCAACAATCTAAAAATGGTTAAAGTAATACGTAAATATACTTTTTATTAATACAACTTTATTTTCTTTTTAACAAGCCTTTGAGGAAGGATTAATAATACAAAAACTCATATTTTCATTCAGAAAAAATGAGTGAGAAGGATCCAACTTTAGACTATGAGTTGAGTTTAGGCCACTGTAGCACTAAACATAAGGAATTTTTACCTCTTCGGTTTCAGCTTTCTCTATTCCTTCAGCTTCTGGTCTTGCTTTCTCTGCTTCTACTTTCCCTCTTAGACTATTTCTTTGTTTATCCTCATTGTTCCACTCTCCTCCCTCCACCTCTCTTGGTCTATTCTCGAGTTCTTCTTTTTTAACTGGACCCTTGTTTTCACCTTCTGTTTGACCCACCTGATGAACAATCGCATAAGGTTAAAATTATAGCTAGACATTTTGCTTTACCCCAAGTTTATATCACCTTTTTAAAATGCTCGTTTGAGGATTAAAAATACCGAAACTCAAGCGAGAACCCTTTAGAGAGAGAGATTAATGTATGCTTAAATTCAGACAATCTCCATGATCATAACCAAATAAGATATATTTGAATGTTTCAATTTACACAAAAAAGTTAATAAAATTCGAGTATATATTATGTAAAAGTTGACCACACTTAGCCATGACCAGCAAATAATCCACACTATATAATAATTTTTCCTTCATTGAAAAGTACCAAGTCATATAGGCTCAAATAATACAAAGAAAGAATATTAGAGGCTATAGTTTTAATTTTTACCTCTTTGGTTTGACCATTGGCTTCATCTTTTTCTCTTCCTTGAGCTTCCTCTCTTGTTTTTGCAATTGGTCTTGCTTTCTCTGCCTCTACTCTCCCTCTAGAAAGATTGCTTCTTTGTTTCTCCTCTTCGTTCCACTCTTTTCCTTCCACTACCCTTGTTCTTCCTTCGAGTTTAGCTTTTTCACCTAAACCCTTCTTCTCTTCACCTTTCGTTTCAAACTTCCCACCACCACTTTCTCTTCCTCTTCTTCCTTCTTCAACCTCTTTGGCTTTAACTATATTCCCAGACCTCGCTCTATCAGAAACCATCTCTCTCTCTTTCTCCCTCTGATCCCTCCCGTTATTACCATGTAACTCCTTTCTATCTGCCTCAACGCGGTCCTCTCTCTCTTTCACCTTATTGCTGGTCTCTCTGCGAAGCAATTGCTCAGATGCCATAGTTTTTTGTTCTCTCTTGCAAACAAAAACACTGTTTCTTTTCTTTTGTGGGGTTTGGAGTTGCTTTACATTGTTAAGTTGAGTGAGGTGCTTAAAAAGAAGGGTAGTGTCGGTTTGAAGAGGTGGTGGTGGATGAGGTTTGCATGGAAGGGACAAGTGGTGTGTAATGTATGATTTGTAGCTATTACAACGTGTGAGAGTGTTGTGCTAGCATGCACAGTACCTGAGGCATGTGTTCTGGTTTCTTGAGGCTCTTCGGGTTTGAGACACGTGGCAACTTAGGGGAATGCCTCATATATATATATATCCCTTGTTTCTTTTAGAACGAACAACTCTCATAAGGAAACACGCGTTGATGATAGTATCTGTTTCCTTCTATCTTTGACCATCCTATTGATTGTTGAATGCATATAATTTAATGTGTATCAGTTCACAATTCACCAGTCTTGTTTGTTTCTCATTTGAAGCAATTTAAAAGATGCCATTGGTTTTACAGAATTGCATTACTAAGAGTTCAGAAAACTAAATTGGACCATGGTCCAGGTCTATTTTTGTCTTAAATAATTAAATTTAATAATTTTAAAATTAAAAACTCTAATTATATACTAGATAACGTAAAAGTTAATAAATCTATGTTTGATCTTCATATAAGTTAATTCTCTTTTTGCTATTAACTTTTTTTCATTAATTGAAAACTTGTGTAATCATTACTAGTATTTTAGTAAGAAATTTTTTAATGTTTTTTATAACTTCTCTAAATTTTTTAATTATATCTATTGTGTTTTTGAAATATTTAATAATTTTTTAACTTTACAATATTTGTTATCTATTTGAAGAGGAATTCACCAACTACTTTACAATGAGTCACCACATGTTCCCAGAATGGTTTTCAAAATTGAAAATGGTATATTTGGTACAATTGAAAGCAAATTTCTGCCACATTGATCTACATTTACACTTAGGAGCATCAAGCCCTTTTATTCAAGAATTACAATAACCAAACGCCAAATTAAATATCTCCTACAGTTGAAAACAATTGGTTTTCCTCTAACAAGTTGGCCCTAGTAAACAAAGATGTTATCTCTGATTGTTTTCAACCAGAAAGAACTGCATTCAGAAGCTCATTCCAAGTGTCAGGAAGCCCTGGAAGACACCAGTGGCTGCAATCTGTTGCCATAACTCCACTGTATCCTTCAGGGTGTGCATCTTTTCTGTACTGTGAGAGTGTAGTCACATCCAAGAAATACACTGGCTTTGTTATCCTGTTCAACACCTTGTTCACCACCACCCAAGCCATTGGTGTTCCTGCAGGATACTTCAGTCCAAAGAATGGTTGTGTCTCACTCATACATGACTTTGTTGGTTGATTCCAGTCTCTCCCCCTATTCACCACATCCAATATCCCACCATAGATAACTAATTAAAAACTTTCACTTTGCATAAACATTGTTAGAAAAATGTCAACATTGGACACCAAAACTGAAAACTTACTGGTAATGCACTGGAGAAATTCCCAAAAAGAAGACCTTTGTATGTGCTGGATTGATGTTTCTTTCAACCCACTTAGCCCAAGTTGTTAGCCCTTTATAGTATGCAACAAAACGGTTCATGTCTTTGAACAACCTATTATTCTCCTCAACATAGTCCCACCTGTCATTAATTTTCAACCATCAGCACCATTAATAAGCCATTGAAATTGGAAAACTAAACTCAGAGAATGATCGTACGGTTGTGAACTTCCTGTGTGGGTCCACCAGTGCCACGTGTTGAAGATCAGCACGTCCATCCCCATCCACGAGTCACCATTCTTGATAGAGTCAAGCTTCAAAACTCGCCCCACTTTCTCACGATCAAGATCCACTAAATATGCTGTTCTGTACAAGTATATCTCAAGGCCATAGTCCTGAAAGTATCACAAACTTTTTATTCCCACAATTCTTTTAATTCACATTTTAATTTTCTAAAAACCCTCCTCATTAAGGAATTTACTTCTTAAAATCTCCATACTCAATTTTTTCCTCCATTCATGTGTATAAAAAAAACCAAACTTGGCTCTTTCTTATCACCAAAAAGTGGTCCAGTTTTTTACTAGAGTTATGGAGTAGATGAAGAACTGTTTCTAACCACAAATGGTCCATTCTCAAAGTGATAGAGAACTAAATTACTAATTATTGTATAGCTATTTTTATTAATTAAATATCTTGTTAATTTCAAAGTAAAAATAAAAAAAAAATAAAGTGAAAAGAATATTATATCTTAATAAATAAAATTAACAAAAAATTTCTTTTGAGTCCAATTAGCCCACACCCAATTATGGATAATTATATCTGTTGATATCATAAACAAACATAATGAAACATAGAATAAGATTTTCTGGTTGAAAAAAGGGCAAATATCAAATTATCATTCATTTCATTTGCAGAAAGCAATGATGGAAAACCGGTTTTGTTGAATAATGGTGTTAATGGTTGTCTTACTCATAATTCAGTTGCAGCCAATTATGGTAACTGAGTCACTGTTCAATGCTACAATCCGAGATTTATGTCAATTAACTTGCCACACTGAATTAAATAAACATTGATCATTGCTGATTGAAACATTTGTTAGACCAAAGCAACTGGGTTTTCATAGAACATGTTTCAAAACTCTTCCAAGACAAAAGATGAAATTAATAATTATTAAATTTTAAAAAGGATAAAATAACACTTTGTTATTGTTACCCTTTTTGAAAATTACACTTTTGAAACACGAAATCAAACAGTTTCATGTTTCTATGGAAATAATAAAAATTGAGGTTTTCGATGTAAGAAAGAAAACCAAAAGTAAGTATTGGTAGTTTTGAACATGAAGCAAGTAAAAGAGTTTCCCTTTTCTACCAAACCAAATGAATATGTGGAAAATGAAACTCCACGTCTGTTCTGATAATTAACAATAAATTCCCCAAACAAATATTATAGTTTTTCAATTTCTTTACATTTTTTTTATGTGCGGAGTTGTTTGAATACGGTAGAGAGAGTGTGAGAACTATTTTGAGTAAAGTATATAAAAAGACACAAATATTTATTATCTCTTAAATAAACAATCAGAATTGTCCCCAGCAAAAAAGCAAAGCCTTCCACCAATCACATCTCACTTTTATTGCTGTTACTTCAGTGCACAGTGCTAAACAGTAGCTACAAAAATATGCACATGCACCATCATACACCACACCAAGTTCTGAGTTCAAATACCCAAACATAGATCAGATCAGAGGGTAGAAGAATTTGAGTTCCAAAATGGAAATGGCTCAGAAAAGTTTCCAACTTGGAGTAAATTACATGAAGAAAGAAAGAAAGGGAAGTGACAGAACTTGTATGGACATACACTACCTCCAAAAAATGCAAAGTTTAAAAACACTGAGCCAAAAATAGAGTAAAGCACATGAATGAAAGAACCAACCTCAAATGTCACTTTGGAAAGAGCATCCCTTTGACTGAAAGTGCTCCTAGATTTTGGCACCCAAGCATGAATCATACATGCCAATGAATTGAACTGGTTCAAGCTCAAGGAGTCACCAACAAACATAATCTTCTTCCCTCTATATCTCTCCAAAAAGTTCAATCCATTGAACCTGCACAGTGAAAATGTCTCGACCGACTCAGCCTAGGACCACAACATGTTAAAGATAATGCACATAAAAAGACTACAACAACTAAGAACAAAATTTGGAGACAATTTCTTATATCTTATTTCTGTTGTCTTTTGAGGAGATTTGAAGTTTTATGTAAGTAATTTACATAATATTTTAACCATGATGTAGAGTATTAACATAAAACTCCATTTGTTTGCGGAAAAATGTTTAGATTTTGGTCAAAGAATAATGAGAGAAGAAATAAAGATACCTTGGCAAGGGACAAGAAAATGGCGTCCACCTATATTTTTGGTAAAGTTTATCAGAGCGACCATGCTTTTGGCAATTGAACTGTGGATCTATGAAGGGACAAGAAGAAGGGTCATAGAGAGGGTATGAAGAATCGTAAACCCATTTCCCACTGAACAAGTTGCATGCTCCTGCGAGCTTCCTGGTTGTACCAGACTCCTCTGCTTTTGCTTGGAGGCAGAGCAGAAACAGAGTTAAGAACAGAACATATGGCAAACCCATTGTCTTGGGCTTCGAACCCTCCCCGTGATTTTTTGAAAGGACGAAGGATGAGGAGAAACTTGCCCTCAAGTCAAGGTCTTATATAATGGAACCGTGAGAGAAAGAAAGAGAGGTTAGAGAGAGAGAAAAAGTGCTCAACAAACGAATCCACATGGAATGTGAAAACAGAACAACTTGCAATTTGTCCTCGTTTATTGTTGTTTTTTAGTGTTTAGTTGTTTTTTTCACTTTAATAATGTAGTGAAACTTTGAATGGGTTGGTTCTTTGATGCAATGCTTGCTTTAAAAATTGTTGGAATGATGATCATTGTGATTCAAAAATTAATGGCAACTCTATGCCCACCTAGAAAGACAGATTTGAAAATGTCTGATATGGTTTTTCTTCTTTCCTTTTTCTTTTTGCACCAGTGTCACACAAATATCATACGGAAAATATGTGCACAGAAAGAATCAGTCTAGAAAGAAAGATCACTCACAAATAAGATTCAGAAAATTCTATCAACTTTTGCATGAATAGAAAACAATGATGCAAATCTTTAACCACACACACTGGTCTCAGTGACATAAGAGAAAAAAAGGAGAAACTATTTGGGTCTGGTTCCTTAATCTTAGAAATATTTTAGAGAAAAGGTTCTATGAAAATGATAAAATAAAAACATTTCATGGATGAACCATTAATGGTTTTTGACCTTTTGTGTGTGTGTGGTACTATAAAAAGGTACATTTAGGTCTACCCTTCCTGAGTTGTGATTCTTGAGTTAACACTCTGGCTGTGGTGGCTGATATTTCCATGGTGTGAAGATCCCACAAACATCATCTTGGATTTGGATAATATAAACTGAGCATACCATTGTTGACTCCACAGGTGAGTGATTCCCTCACCATCACATGCTGTGCTTTTAGTGTAAAAAAACAATATTACTTTCTATTTTCATGTGCACCTGTGTAGGATGCATATATACATTGCCCTCCATGTGAAAAATATTGTTTTAATTACCTGAAAATTTGTGTGACATTTTTCTGAGGACTATCTTTGAAATTCTAGATAGATTAAGATCTAACAATGAGGGAAAAAAATAAAAAAATTATTTTTCTCATAAATAAAAATAGTTCATGTATGAATTAATTTATAAAATTTCTCTGATATTTATTTTTAATACGTTTGTTTGTAAAGTAATTTTAACTCATAAAACATTTTAAAAAAAATTACTTGAAAAAGATTTTATAAATGTACCTATTTTAATTCATAAAAAAAATGATTTTGACTTAAAACAAAACTCCTAAAAATCATCATGATAAATTGGTTAAGAGAAATGATTTGAAGTTATATCAATTGAAAGTGAGTGAAAAGTGTGGTTATGTTAAAATATTCAATCTAGAACATGGAAATGCATGAATCTCCTAACCAAATTAGGATGTTAAATATTGAGGAAGACTCATGGTAGAGTGAAATAAATAAAAGATATATTGAATCACACATCTCAGCATTTCTTCAATCACACAAATTTTTCCTTTGCTAACTTTTTTTGTTTGTTTCATTCTCTTTGGCTTTAATTCTGTGTATAGAGTGAAATGAGTTAAACTAACACATGATTTGAGTTAAACTAACTCAAGAGTTGTAAAAAGGGTAAAATTAATTAAAACTACTTTATTATCGCGGAAATATATTGATAAGTAATTCTATTACTTGATAATTCTGGTGTACTCGTCCATTTTATCTAAAAAAAACAAAGTCAACTATTTTCTAATTTATAAATAAGTTTTATAATTTCAAAACAAATTATTATGTATCATGAAATGTTCTGTCTTTGATTTTTCATATTTTGTTCAAGAGTTTATGCTAAAATAGAATCAAAATACAATTTTTTTAGAAAAAAAAATAAGAACAAAAATTATAATTACATCTTTAATATTATTTTTCATCCTATATTTATAAAAGTCACGTTGTGAGTTGGTTAATTTAATGAGTTATTATATACAAATAATCCCATTCTATAATTTATGATAATGTATAATTATTTTTAAAATTTTAATTTTTAGTTATTTAATCTTTAACCATATTTTACTTTCTTTTTCTATTTATTATATAATGTCATTTTTTTCTTTCTCAAGATAAAAAGTGTCTTTTTTTTGTCGTGTTACCCCTCTTTTTAAATATATCTTTCGTTATCTCTTCATTAAATGTATAATATTTGTTTCCATATTATCGAGGGATTAATAAAAAAAATTGTACTAACGAGATACAAGTGAATCCATATAAAAAAAAATATGATATAATTTTCAACAAAAAAACCTTAAAACATTATATTGTTGGTCTTTCTCACTTATAAATTACTCAACTTTCTCATTTTATACAATGTGTCACCTCAAACTCAAACTTGATTTCTTAACAAATATTATAAAAAAAATCATTACATATTGATCTAAGTACGCTCATGAGTCTCATACCACTTATAATCGAAATAAATTTATATATATCATCTTTCTTAATCTATCGAGACACTTTAATATTAGAGCTCCAAAACGAAATAGTTCATGAGTCTTACATTATTTAGAAGTTGAGACCAAAGGTATTTTATATATAATTTTCTCTTTTAATCTATCAACACGTTTTTAATAATAAAACCGCGACTTTCTAAAACTTCAAAATAGACAATAATTGACCATAATTATACTATCATAAATTCATAATTGATCGAGATAAAAATAATATATATAATATAAATTATAGTCACAAATTAATTTAATTAAAATAAAATAAATTAAAAAATATTATTTTATTAATAAATCATGTGTATTAACGGGGTGTTTGATAAGAAAAAAATGTGTAATAATGTTTTCCTTAATTTAGTTATAGAACAGACGCCGTGGCTGCAAAGGCAGTTTGATGGAATGTCATATATGCTGTCCTTCTCTCCATGAAAGGTTTGTTATGAACTTTTTTATTAACAGGAAAAGAAATATGACATGGTTCAAAATTCTGATGATGAATAAAATAAAATAATTATATGTTAAAAAATAGTTTTATTAGGGAAGAACAATGGAGTGAGCAGTGAGAGAGGGTAATATTGAGGCACTTCAAGGCCAACCTGGACTCCATCAAATTTATAAATAAAAAAATTCTGTAAGTCAACAATATATGAATACAAAAACCTTTGATATTTATATAAAATAATATTGATCTAAATAAATAAATAAATATTAGATAATCTCTTTTATAAATATAATAATAATAATAATAAACCTAGTTATTTTTACTTCTCTTTCTTATTCAAAATTATTTTTAAGTTGTTTACTTAAAGTGAGTTATCAATAAATCATTTCCTTGTAAAAAAGTTTTATAATCAATCAAATGTGCCAACAAAAATTATACATCTTTTCATAAATATATTTTATAAAAACTATATATAGCACATCACATGGCATGAGTGTGATAGTACATCAAATTCATAGATTTTTATTCTAAAAAATCATATAAATCAAATCATATTCTGAGTTATATAAATTTAAAAAAACTAAGTATTCCTTCAATTAATGTCAATATGTATTTTTTAAGTATAAATGTAGCATCAATTTTATTTCTAAAATTTTGTGGAATACTCCATGTGATCCCTTCCTTTTCCTCAGTCCCACATATATACCAATAAACAAAACAAAAAAGAAAATTAAAGTAGAAGTCATTCCAAACATATGTGGAGCATATAATTGAAGGTAGAAGAAAGTGACAAGGATTTGACCTATATAATTAAATTGACACCATTTTGGTTTTATTCAAAAAAGTAATGCACATGCATATATATGATTACTAACTAATTTTTAATGTTAACAATATATGTATTCTTGATTGTAGAATCTACATTTTTTATGACTTTTTTATTTTTTCTCTATTATTAAGTGATGATTTATTTCATTGTTTTTAGATAAGTTTATATAATTTATTGTATCAATGATAATTGGTATGAATCGTACGTAAACAATGGTTGAAGTTGGTAATTTTCAGAGAGTTTTATCATTTGGAATCATGAAAAGGATAAAGTTAATTTTTCTCTCATAATCTAAGAAAAAAAATGTATATTAAATAAAATAATAATATTTGTATAACCACGTTTTAATCAATCAACTAGGGATGATAAAATAATTTAAGTTTAGGGTCAGATCACTGATCCGTTATAAATATAGCAGAATAGGTTGATATTTTTAGCTTATTAACCTACTTTGACCTATCTTATTATAAGTCTATCAACCCACGAAAATGTAGCCTGTTCAATTGATAAAAAAATTATTTTTATTATAATATTCCTATTTTTATGACTTGAATTGAAAATGTCATAATTATTTAAGTGAAGAATATCATAGAGTTTTATCAAATAAAAAAAATACAATATAATTTTGGTGTTAGATATTTAAATTTTTAATATAAAAAATAATTATTTTACCAATTTTGACGTTGCAAACATGTATTTGTCATTATTTATTATTATATAAATTTTATTTTAATTTGATTATTTTAAATTATAATTTCTTAAGCTAATGTGTCAATTTATATTATTTTAAAATATATATGTTCAATTGTTGACAAATAAATGAACATTTTATTATTAAACTTATTGAAAAAATTAATTTAAAAAGATATAAATAAATTTTAAAAAAAAATTGGTGAATCAGTTCACCATCTCACCAATTCATGTTTTGATGAGACAAATTAAAATTTATAGTCCATCATAATTATTACAGGTCAACCTGTTCGCCTTTTTTAGAAAGAAGTTAACCCATTTTATCATCTTAAACAATTAACTACAAATTAATTTAGTAATATAATATAATGAAAATAAAAATTCAAAAATTTTAATATAAAATAATAATAATAATAATAATAATAATAATAATAATAATTTCAAACTTTTCCTATATTATATTATTAAATTAAATTGTAGTTAATAGTTTGGTTAAAATAGGGTGTATAAATCCAACTACTCATTAAATATAATGACTCAAAAAAA